TATATAATGCCATCTTTGAAGTTAGGGGTGTTCATCGGTCTAAAATCGGACCGGACCAGACCAGACCGAAAACCGAACTATGCTAAAACCTAGACCGAAGACCGGACCTAAATGTAGTCGGTTTTGGACTGGACCGACTCGAAATCTTATGGACCGAACCGGTCCAGACCGAAAAAGACCTAATCCAGGTGTGGCCGGAATTGAAACTTTCCCCACCGGCAAAACCCTAGGTGTGGAAAATAGGGGGTTTTGCAATCCCGAACCAAATGCTGCAATTGAGGAGTCAAGGTGGGTCGTAAAGATGTCAAGAAGATGCCTGGGTGGGTGCGCGACGTCGAATTTGTCGGAGGTGGCCGGAATCTGCAAATACCCCCGGCAACCTCCGTGACGGGTCGCAATTGATTCCCAGCGATTCCGGCGTTCAAATCCCACGATGCTGGTGGCGATGGGGTCATATGGACCTCAGGAGGCGTTTGGGAGTGGAGGGGAGGCTCGCCGCTGCGTGTGGTGGCCGGAGCAGAATTGCCGCTGCGAATCTGCGAACGAAGGGTCAGTGATTTGCGCCTCTAGAGTCACAGGCGATTGGCCGATTGCCGATTATGGGAAGTGAATCTGCGATTGGAGAATGGAGATTTGGAATTGGAGTTGAGGTAGAGAATTTTTGGGGAAGTGGGAGAATAGGAAGATAGAACGGTGATGGCCTCCCTGGTCTCGATCTTTTAGAATTACTCCGTAAAATTAATGGTCTTGGTCTTTTAGGTCCGGACCGAATGATATTCGGGTTTGGACCGGACCAGACCGAAACCCGAAATTGTAAAATTGGTGGACCAAAGACTGACCCGAAATCTAATCGGTCCTAATAGGTCCGGACCGATCGGTTTTTTCAGTCCAGACCCCTTTATGAACAGCCCTATTTGAAGTACCCTAACCTATACAGCCAAGTACTATACGAATTATGTAGTACTCCCTCCGTCCCCTGTATTTGTCCACATTTGACTTTTTGAACTGTTCATCTAAGCACTTTGACTCATCAAATTCTCTCAATGTGTAAGCCTAAATATAGTCATGTGTGATCTTGTTTGATTTGTCTTAACATATAGATTATTAATATATAATTTTTATAATTTTTTAATATACAAATTACAAGATAAAATGGATTAAAGAAGTGCATTGGATGGTGTGTAAAAATGAAAGTGGACAAATACAGGGGGACGGAGGGAGTAGTAGCTAATCGTATTTAATGAGTGTTTCTCTGTCTTTATAAGTTGGTTAAACTGTTAGTAAATTATTTTTAATTCATACGTTAGTTGATGATGCATTTTTTGTTCTTATAAGCTAATTTTCAAGTTGTTTATAATTTAGCTGTTTTTACTCTGTAATTCACTATTTAAATCATAAGTTGATGACAGACACATTTTTTTGTGCATACTTATTGAGCTTGTTTTTGTGTTATTTATTAGTAAAAAATTATTTCTAACCCTTTATAAATATCTCTAAATGATTTATCTCTGATTTAGACCACTTTATAAAAAATACTCCTTCCATTCTTAATTTATTTACACTATTCGAACTTGAAAATTTTTATCTATTTTTAATAACTTTACCTATAAATTGGCATTAAAATGAAAAATACAAATTATATATTTAAAAACTACATCAAAAGTTTTACAAATTAAGATGTGACAAGAATATTACTCCCTATATATTATCAAATGACCAATTAACATACAAGTATGCCTTGCCCTTTGGTGGATAGAGTTTAAGGCAATTTTTGTAGTTGTGGCTCTTCTTCTACTGGAATTTTCATGGGGTCGTTAATGGTAGAAATGTTGGCGGTCAAGGAAGTGATTTCGTGGCTGAAGGGTCGTGGATTTCATTCTGTTAAGGTGTTTTCATATTGCTCTACTTTGTGTCAAAATCTTGCTCAATTTTCTAAGACAGATTCTACATTTGCATCATTACTTTTGATTTTATGAGAAGCTAAGATTGTTTCACCGATTGCGCGTTCCATTTTAATCTTAGAAGCGCTAATGTTATTTCACTCTTTGGCTTTTGTCGCATTTGGGCAAGCCAATAAATTCTGCAGGGATTCTATCCCTCCTGACTTTGTCCCAGTTCAATAATAATGCATTTTGGTTTTAAAAAAAAGAAGAGATTATCATCGTTGCGATTTTGATTAACATCAAATATACATGTGATCTAATATGTGTGTTTGAGTGTAAATCATACTCCGTAATTTATAAAAGGGTGTTGGTCCGCAGCCACTAGCTTACAAAGTCACTACCACTGCTACTGCTTTTTTGGAAAACCACAGGTGCTCCTTTCGCAAAATTAATAGTTCTTACTTGCCCTAAACCCCCACTCAAGTCCTACCCCTTACCCCGCTTCCATTTTAGATTCTTTCACCGATTGCACGTTCCATTTTAATCTTAGAAGTGCTAATGTTATTTCACTCTTTGGCTTTTGTCGCATTTGGGCAAGCCAATAAGTTGTATAGGAATTCTATCCCTCCTGACTTTGTCCCAATTCAGTAATAATGCATTTTGGTTTTAAAAAAAAGAAGAGATTATCATCGCTGCAATTTTGATAAACATCAAATATACATGTGATCTAATATGTGTGTTTGAGCGTAAATCATACTCCGTAATTTATAAAAGGGTGCTATTCCGTAGCCACTAGCTTACAGAGTCACTACCACTGCTACTGATTTTTTGGTAAATCTCCGGTTCTCCGTTCGTAAAATTAATAATTCTTACCTGCCCTAAACCCCCACTCAAGTCCTACCCCTTACCCCCCTCTCCATTTTAGATTCTTTCACCGATTGCGCGTTCCATTTTAATCTTAGAAGCGCTAATGTTATTTCACTCTTTGGCTTTTGTCACATTTGGGAAAGCCAATAAGTTGTATAGGGATTCTATCCCTTCTGACTTTGTCCTAATTCAGTAATCTGACTTTGTCCCAATTCAGTAATAATGAATTTTGGTTTAAAAAAAAGAAGAGATTATCATCACTGCGGTTTTTATAAATATCATATATACATGTGATAGAATATAGGATGGGGTATGAAAAACTGGATTGGGCAAAAAGACACTTTGGCTGAACCACATTAAAAGATTGAATCCAATCAATTAGTTAGTTCAACTCAAAAGCTTATATACCGATTACTTTTACTCTTGAACTTCCGATGTGGGATGCACTCTAACACCCCCCCTCAAGTGGACAACCGGGTCATTTTGAATCTAACCGGTTGACCACTTGCAAATGAACTCCCATTCCCTCGACTTTTTTTTTGAGCGCCAACACCTAAAGGACCACGAGCCGCGCTGGGTATGGACTTCCAGACGAGCAATCGTGTTAAACGGGCCACTGGCTGTTGGATACATACTCCATACGGGCAACTAGGCTAACGACAAACGGGCCGCTAGGAATGAACGTCTAGACGGACACCCTGACAAACGAGGTGGGCCAAAACTAGGCTCTGATACCATGATAGAATATAAGATGTGGTATGGAAAACTAGATTGGGTAATAAGACACTTGGGCTGAACCACATTAAAAGATTGAATCCAATCAATTAGTTAGTTCAACTCAAGAACTTATATACCGATTATTTTTACTCTTGAACTTCCGATGTGGGATGCACTCTAACAACTCTAACAATGATACGGATTAGGATGAGGAGGTGGTTACCGAGTTCGTGCCGAGACGTTCGGGACGTGTGAGCAAAGCACCGACCCGATTGAAGGATTATGTTTGAAGCATATTTGTTATTTCGTATTTTATTTATTTTATTTATTGTATTTTAGATTTTTCTTAGCCGAGCGAAATTATAAGCTCTTTCGAGGGTTTCTTTTCAGTTCTTTACCTTGATGCTTTTCTTGAACCGACAGGACTAGGTTTCTTGTTATAAATACGGATAATATCATTCACAAATAATAACAAGAAAATAGTTTAGCCTCTCTCCTCTTAACCCTAATTCCCCTCCCTACCTCTCGTCTCTCTCTCTTCTTGCGCCTCAACCCTTCTTCCCGGTCTTTCTACGGGTGATTCCCATATCAACTAGTGCTTTCATTATTATCGAACTCAACATCCCTCCATGGCAGCAGATCCTACCCATGAACAACCATTATCCGCAGACCAAGAGTCGGAGGATGTGTTTGCTGTAATTCGTCATCTTGCTCTCGAAGTCCGTACCACCCGTCAAGATTATCATGCCATGTCTCAGCGGTTAGATCAAGTTTACTCTATTTTAGAGTCCAAACCATGGGACACCAAACCGACAAAAGGCATTTTGGATGCGCCCCCTACTCATGCACGTCGCCCATCCATGCACCCTCTATTTCCCGATTCCACGGACAGCGGTGGGAATCATGATCTGCATCTACCCAAGGTTCGTATTGATGCTCCTAAGTTTAATGGGACGGATCCAGCAGGGTGGGTTTTCAAAGTCCAATCTTATTTCGATTATTTCCAAACACCAGAGGACACACGTCTACGGCTGGTGGGTCTTTTATTCGAGAGTCTAGCGTCGGAGTGGTTTTTGTATCAACATAACAATCATTGTTTGCACTCATGGCCTGCCTTCTTAGCTGCTGTTAAACAGCTGTTTGGTCCCACTAACTACGAGGATTAAGCTAAACTCCACCATTGGTCCTTCGACTTTATCAACTGTGCATGATTGGTCCTTCAAGTTTTAAAAGTCCATAAATAGTCCTTCAACTTTATGAGTTGTGCACGATTGGTCCTTCAAGTTTTAAAAGTGCATAAATAGTCCTTCAAGTACACGTCAGCCCTCCAGATGAGGTCCTTTTGACAGTAAATGTTAAAAGCTAAATGGAATCCTAGCTCCATATAATACGGAGTAGTCGTACCTAGTGGAATTTACTCGTATTATATGAAACTAGTATTTCGTTTAACTTTTAATATTTACTGTCAAAAGGACTTTATATGGAGGGCTGACGTGTACCTGAAGGACTACTTATGAACTTTTGAAACTTGAAGGACCAATGGTGCAGAACTCATAAAGTTGAAGGACTATTTGTGGACTTTTGAAACTTGAAGGACCAATCGTGCACAACTGATAAAGTTGAAGGACCAATGGTGGATTTTAGCCACGAGGATTATTTGGGTCTTCTCTCCAAACTACAGCAGCGTACTACTGTTTTGGATTATCAAACTGAATTTGAGCGCTTATTGAACAAGGTTACTGGAGTTTCTGAGGCCACCCTAATTTCTATATTTGTTTCTGGATTAAAGGGTTATTTACATCGTGAGGTTAATATGCGTGGTCCTACTACTTTGAGCCAAGCCTTCGGCCTTGCTCGGAAGTTGGCCGCTAACCATACTGATGCTTTGTCTTCAATTACCTCTGGTTTACGACGCACTGGAATGGCTTCTACGTCGGTGACACCCCTGCCGGCGACTGCCCGATTGCCAGGGGAGGCCTCGGTGGGTATGGGCACAACTCCATCCTCTTCGTGCTCCGCATCTACGACACTGCCCATTCGTCGTCTTACACCTGCCGAAAGGGAGGAACGGTCCGCGAAAGGGTTATGCTTTAATTGTGACGAAAAGTTTGCTCCGGGCCATCGTTGTAAACACCGCTTTCTTGCCTTATTGGGAACAGAAGATGAGGATGCCGAGACTCCACCAGATGACGACGTCCTTGTGATCACGGCTGACGTCTCAAGCATCATCTCCCTGGATGGTGCTCCCCACCGCGGGCCCTTCATCTCCTGGGTAGGATAGCCGGCGCATCGGTTCGTATTTTGGTGGACGGCGGAAGTACGCATAACTTTATACATCCACGTTTAGTGGAGCATCTTCAATTGCCCATTGCGCCTATTTCTCCATTCCGGGTGTACGTAGGGAATGGGGAATCACTTTCGTGTGACCACCGGTGTGCGAGCGTCCCTTTGCTCATTCAAGGCCATTCTATTTTGTTTGATTTGTACGTTCTTCGGATTCATGGGCCCGATATTGTTCTGGGTATTCAATGGCTTCTGAGTTTGGGTAAAATTGCTCATGATTATGCGGCTTTGACAATGGAATTCTGTCTCGACGGCAAGTCCGTCAGCTTCCGGGGTGTGGAACCCTCTACTCGGGTAATCTCTTATCAGACCATGTTGGCGCTATATTCTCACGAGGACATCTCCGCCGGCTATGAAGTCTTTCTGTTTAACACCATGGCCGAGATAGTAAGTTCAAGCTCCAACCAAATTCCTCCTGACCTACCCATGCAACTCCTCTCTACATTGGAACGCCATGCTGGTGTTTTTCAACTACCCACGGGTCTGCCACCCACAAGGCCTTAGGACCACTGAATACATTTGCAGCCCGGGACTACGACGATTAATGTTCGCCCATACCGCTATCCGTACTTCCAGAAAACAGAAATAGAACATCAAATTCGGGAGATGTTGGCACAGGGCATCATCCAACCGAGTCGCAGTCCTTTTTCGTCTCCGGTTTTATTAGTCAAGAAGAAAGACGGCTCTTTTCGCTTGTGTGTCGATTACCGGACACTCAATGCCGCCACCATCGCTGATAAATTTCGAATTCCTACAGCTGACGAATTGTTTGACGAATTGGGCCATGCTCGGTTCTTCTCCAAATTGGATTTGCATTCCGGATATCATCAAATACGCATGCATGCGGATGACATCTTCAAAACCGCTTTCCGAACGCATGACGGCCACTATGAATTTTTGGTTATGCTGTTCGGTTTAACCAACGCCCCGTCCACGTTCCAGGCCGCAATGAATCATATCTTTAAGGCTTACTTGCATCGCTTTGTCATCGTTTTCTTTGACGACATCCTCATCTATAGCACTACACTTAACCAACATGCCTCACCCTAGGATTTTATTCTTCATACACTGGCCGAACATCAATTTTTTGTGAAGATGGGGAAGTGCTCTTTTGGTAAAGAAATAGTGGAATATTTAGGGCATTTGGTGACACAAGGGAATTTACAGGCGGATCCCAACAAATTGGCAGCCATGCATACTTGGCCGACTCCTCGGAATGTCAAACAATTACGGGGTTCCTCGGCTTAACGGGGTATTATCGCCGCTTCATCCTGTCGTATGCTATGTTGGCGGCACCTTTGACAGCCCTATTAAAGGACATTTTTTGCTGGACGCCAGAAACCGAGGCTGCTTTTGTTCGCCTCAAAGAAGCAGTAACAAAACCCCTGGTGCTTCGTTTGCCCAATTTTGACGAAATCTTCATTTTGGAAACGGATGCGTCCAACGAGGGTATTGGGGCAGTGCTCCTCCAACAGGGACATCCCGTGGCTTTCTTTAGTAAGAAGTTGGGCATACGCCGCACCCAAGCCTCCGCATACCATAAGGAATTGTACGCCATTGTGGAAGCAGTGCCTAAATGCCATCAATATATGTTGGGGAGGGAATTTATTATTCGTACGGATCATAAGAGTCTCCGCGAGTTGCTATTTCAAGTGGTACTGATGCCAGACCAACAATTTTATATCCGTAAGCTAATGGGTTTTAAATTCCGTATTGAATACAAACCTGGGGCAGCCAATAGGTTGGCGGATGCGTTATCCCGGCGTGATGATAGCGACGCCATGCTCTCCCTTTTCCAGCATTATGCCCAGCCACTCCCTGATATTTTGCACCGTTTGCGTCTCGAAAATGGAAATCTTTCGGATTTGCAGGGGTACCACGCGGCGGCAACAGCAGGCACCCTAGCAGCGCCATTCTCTGTTCGTGGGGGCCTAGTGTACTACAACCAACACTTATGTCTTAGTCCACACTCCTCCCTCAAACCCAAAATTCTGGCGGAATTTCACGCTACCCCCAGTGCCGGCCACCCGGGTATTGATCGCACGTTCCGTCGTGTTGCAGAAGTTTTTTATTGGCCACACATGCGAAGGGATATCAAGGCCTTTGTGGATGCTTGTCTGTTGTGTCTGTCGACCAAGGCCTCCATGCAGAAACTTGGGGGGCTGTTACAGCCACTACCGGTCCCTGCACAATTATGGGATGACGTCACTATGGACTTCATCTTCGGGTTACCGCCGTCTCGTGGCTACTCTGCTATTTTGGTGGTTGTGGATCGATTATCCAAATACAGCCATTTTGGAGCTCTAGTGCCGCATTTTGATGCCCCTGGGCTTGCTTCTGTGTTTGTGGACATTATTATTAAGCACCATGGTTTCCCCCGGACAATTGTTTCCGATCGTGACCCGATATTCATGAGTAATTTTTGGACGACATTATTCACTCTAAGCGGCACAACATTGAAGCGTAGCACAGCGTGTCACCCACAAACCGATGGACAAACGGAGGTGCGAAACCGTGGGTTGGAGCAGTACTTGCGTGCTTTTTGTCATGAACAGCCGACAAAGTGGTCGCTTCTTCTTGCGTGGGCAGAGTTGGCCCTTAACACTACTTACCACAAGGGCATACGGATGACACCCTTCAAAGCATTGTACGGCCGGGATCCCCCCCCCCTTTATTGCCATACACATCGGGCACGTGCAAAGTCCCGAAGGTGGATGAATTGTTAACCTACCCAAAGCTTGAAGCGGAATTTGCAGAGCATGCAACAGCGCATGTGCAAACAAGCAAACAAACACCGGCGGGAGGTTACTTTTGAGGTCGGAGACCAGGTGCTCCTCAAGCTACAGCCGCACAGTCAATTCTCTGTAGCCCGGCCACTCGCCGCTAAACTGGGTCTTAGATTTTATGGGCCGTTTGAAGTTCTGGAACGTATTGGGGCCGTCGCCTATCGGTTGAAGCTACCTGTGGGGACCAAAATTCATAATGTTTTCCGTGTTTCACTTTTACACCCATTCGTGGCCTCAAGCGTGCTACCTCCACTGGCTACTTTGCCCAAGGAATTTCATGAGGGGGCACCTCTGTCCACTCCAGTTCGGGCAGTCCAGGCACGCACAGTCCTTGTTCATGGGGTGCCGCAAGATCAATGGTTGGTGGTGTGGTCTCACGGGAGTTTGGACGACGTGTCATGGGAACCTGTGGAACACCTTGCTCGGGTCTACCCCGACTTAGTCCTTGAGGACAAGGACGTTGTTGAAGCGGGAGGCAATGATACGAATCAGGATGAGGAGGTGGTTACCGAGTTCGTGCCGAGACGTGTGAGCAAAGCACCGGCCCGATTGAAGGATTATGTTTGAAGCATATTTGTTATTTCGTATTTTATTTATTTTATTTATTGTATTTTAGATTTTCTTAGGCGAGCGAAATTATAAGCTCTTTCGAGGGTTTCTTTTCGGTTCTTTACCTCGATGCTTTTCTTGAACCGACAGGACTAGGTTTCTTGTTATAAATACGGATATTATCATTCACAAACAATAACAAGAAAATAGTTTAGCCTCTCTCCTCTTAACCCTAATTCCCCTCCCTACCTCTCGTCTCTCTCTCTTCTTGCGCCTCAACCCTTCTTCTCGGTCTTTCTACGGGTGATTCCCGTATCAAACAACATGTGATCTAATATGTGTGTTTGAGCGTAAATCATACTCCGTAATTTATAAAAGGGTGTTGTTCTGTAGCCACTAGCTTACGGAGTCATTACCACTGCTACTACTTTTTTGGAGCAGCTTCGGTGCCCCGTTTGTAAAATTAATAGTTCTTACTTGCCTTAAACCCCCACTCAAGTCCTACCCCTTACCCCTCCAAATGTATGGTTATTATGCATTTGCCAGGGTGGGGAAAGGTGGGCTAGGTGGGGGTGGGGGTGCTTAGAGTGTACAAATTATCAATTTTGCAAATGGAACACCAGAAGTGCTCTGAGAAGGCAATGGCAGCGAGAGTGACTACGTAAGCGAATGGCTATGGAATCGCTGCGATTATAGAGCTGGTGATTATTGAATAAAAACCACCCGTCCATTATCATTGACATTTTTTAGTTCTTTTGTTTTGGTAAGTTGAGTTTCTAAACACATTTCACTGTTTTGAAATTCTTCTTGTTTGAGGAATTTATCTAAATAGCACTAAAACATAATGACTTTACCTAAATAGCATCATATATTTTTATCTCCCAATGTAACACTTTTAGTCATTATTCATTAGTCATTATTCAAGTAAATGTTCACCATCACTGGACATTATTCCTTCTTTTAGACATTATTAAGTATTATTTAGGGAATAAAAAATTTAAGTCCTACATTGGGAAATGACTTATGTTTTAGTGCTATTTAGTGCAAATATTTCTTTTTTTAATACATACTCCGTAATATATTACTTCATAAAATCTTTGTCTCACTTAATATAAAACATCCTTTTTTTTATTAGCTGGGTTTTAGTTTTTTGCATGTAATTTATTTTTTGTTTTCTGTTTTTTTATTTCTTCTTTTAGTTTTCGTATTTTTCCAAAGAAAACCCCCTAAATAGGAGTAAAACATGTGTTATATCCTCAAAGTAGGAGTTTAAATTTAAACTCCTCTAAGTAGGAGTAATTAACTATTTTTATTGTACAAATTGTTTAGCCGCTGGGAGAAGAATGGAACACCACCCATTCGTTAAAATATAACTATATTTTGTAAATGTCATTCTTCCATACTTTGTTCCCATCCATCCCTTTTCATAGAGTAGTGTGCGCTTGTGTGTATCACCCCAAGTAACTGAAGATCACGTGAATTTTCTTCTTCATACACTCTGTTTCCAATATGAAGCCTCACAGAAAAAAATGCAAAATAAAATATGGTTTTTTATTATTATTGGTGGGGGTGGATATTTTTTTGGCATAGAGCTAACAATGGAGAGAGTGTGTGTTTGATTATTTTAATTGTTTAATGTAGAAAAGTCTAATTATAGTGACTTTTGATGGGTGTTTTGAAGTGGGATTGGGCTAAATGGCTGATTTCTTATTCCCCATAAGAAAAGCTCCTAATTATCTCTGCAGATTAAAATAATCGGAAAGAATTTGTCTCCATCCCATAATTAATGACTTCGTGGGCTCGATGCATGCACATGTTTCACCGAGTACAATTGAACTTTTGGCATTTTGCAGAGCCACGTTTGTCACCGTGCATTGACATCTTTGGTATTTTGTTTTCGATTGACCTAAAATTTTGTATTTTTGCATCTTACAATATAATGTTTGTCACTGTATGTTTTCATTTTTAGCATTGTGTTTTCAATTGATACTGTATGAATTATTTTTTCTCCATGTAGAACCATGGTACTACACCTGTGGGGGTTAGTGATGCCGACAACGTGCGACGATAACAGGAGCAAGGGGTGATGAAAGTGGCAGATCTTGGCGGCGGCAAACTGTGAGTCAAGAACTCCTATTTTAGGAGTTTTATGTTTTCACTCCTATTTTGGATTTTAATCAATGTTTTAGTTCTATTTTGCTTCTTAACCCTTTTTTCCAATGTTGGCCAAAACATAGCCCTGTCGTGGTAGACGAAAAAGTTGACTGATAAGAGTCTTTAATGTTGGCAACATGTTGCTCCAATGGAGGCTATAGCTTCAACCTATTATATCGCTCCAATATGTCAATTAGTCAATAACATAGTCTATGTCGAGTGCTTGCTTTCTTGGCAATTGCATTCTTCATAGCACAATCTTTGTCGAAAATTATTGGTATTTTTTCATTCACGACTTCTAAAAATGTTCCGAACATCCAAACAAAAGAACCTTCAGTTTCATCCAGCAATATCACACAACCAAACAAGATGCTTTGCATGTGATGGTTTAGGCTTACAAATGGAGCAACCGAAATCTTGTACGGAGTACTACATATTAGGACATGTTCTCTTCAGCTTAATCTTATTGAATCAGATCAGATCAGACAAGATCAAAATATTCAAATTCGAAACAACTTTAACTAGAATGAGATCAGAAAGATCCAAATCAATCAAAAAAGAGTTGACCATTCAATTTTCATCATCTCTTGTAGTGATTGCATAGAAAAAATCAAGATCACATTTCTTCATTATATATGATGGTGGTCAATGAGATTTTTCTTCTATCTCCCTCAACTTCGAAAGGAGAAGATAAAATATATCTCAATCCTTGTATCTCTCAAGTCTCAATTCAGTTATCATCCAACACAAGTAAAATACTCTTCGCGCGAATCAGGTCTTGAAATTTAACTTGAACATGATCAAGTTCGGATAATTTGATCCTTTTCAGTGATGAAACTCTACTATAATTCACTTTATGATGCAAATGGTATCAAAATCCATTGACAAAAAAACTCACATTTTGTAACACCCTAACTTGAAGTGTTGAACAGTCTCGTGGACTATTCCAAATTAGAGAGTTAAAAGGAAATATACTAATTTCTTATAAAAACATCATATAAATATTTATTAAAAACAGTGGAAACAAGTTTAAAATACAATATCTTTGTGAACATAACGTCATTAAAAAATACAAACTTTTTATTCTAGCAAATAAAATAAACACATAACCGTATTTATTTAAACAAATTTAATTGCCATGTCCTACACTTCCACTTGTTCTAGCTACATCACCTACGCACAGTAAAAATTACCAAAAATATTGTACGCTCAACATATTTGCTGAGTGGTACAAAACAGTATAGGACGGAGTCTCGTAAAAACATGATTTTTACGAAAATCAATACTTTACTTTTATAGAATGAATTTCCATATATGAAACTACATAGTTATAAGTTAGATAAAAACTTTATGAAAGATTTTATCTAGATTACTGAGATACGAAATATTCAATTTAACGACATACACCCGGGGTCTCCGAATGCAGCCCTTAGAAATACTGCCTTTTGGGCATCATTCTCGAAACCCTGGCCGATGGTTGTGTATACGTATACGATGAGCGGTAATAGGGGTCTCCTACCGTTGCTCCGAAATACAAGTTTACGATGATCTCAAGTTGTTCAAACTTATGATAATATAAAAGTTTGAATATTATTCCCTATATATCAAATCATTTTTATAAATCAATATTCTATTATATATCACTTTTAAAACTTTAATTTCAAAAGAGTTAAAAATATTAATTTCAGAATAAAATACTACTTTTTATATTTTTTTAAAATAACTTTATATCATACAAAGAGTTTTTTTAAAGGATTTTTACAAATATAGTAGTTGAATGGGAAGTCCATGGAATACGATTTTGTATATACCTCGAGTTCAAGAGAAAAGGTGAAATAGAGTTTATGAAGACTAGTAAGGAACCGAGACTCTAGAGGTGTTACCGAGCTCTACCAAGGAACAACAAAATAGCAAAAAGTGTGTCAATAACTTGAAGAACATTTAAGAAAAACGCAGTATTTTCGGAAGGGTTTCCTTAGCTTAAACGGGCTCTAAAGAAACTCTTGTTGGCTCTAATTTATTCTAGTCTTTTGGGAAGAGGTTTGGTAGTGTATTGGGAGTAAAATAACTTAAAATTTTCGTTGCTATATAGGCTAAAAATGTGAAGAAAGTTGCTGCAATATTGATAGGAAAGAATGGAGAAAAATGAATAACTTTTGGGTGGTATTTATAGGTAAAAACTTGTAGAAACAACCAATAAAGATTACCTCAACTTGATCATGATAATTTAGATTATTTTTGGAGGATTCTAACATCATAAAATCAGGAGCATATGAAAAAAAATCTAGAGAAGTGTAAAACTCTTTAAATATGTCATCAACATTCACTAAAAATATTTTAAGAATATTTGATGATGTTTGGATTGATATGGATTCATTTAATGTGTTAAAGCAACTAAAAAGCCTCCAAAATAGCTTAGAAATAGATTCCAAAGAGTTTCAATAAAAAAATCTGGTTAGGGAAGAGTTTAGATATTTTTTTGGAATAATAAGAGCTGAGATCCAAAATGTGATATAGTTGCTACTGTGATATATTTACGATGAAGAGGAAGAGAAAAAAACGCACGCTAGGTGAGGGGGGACTCGAAGACGGGTGAACAGATTTACTCTCCCTTCTCAATTCTGCTCTGCTACAACAAATCTCAGTTACAATAAATGATTTGTATTGTACTTATTCCCTTTCTTGCAGCTTTGACCCAATTCTATTGTCTGGCCCAATATTAAATTAAGTTGGGTCCAATTTTAATTAATATTCGTAAACCATTTTTATAATAATAAAAAAAATTTAACTTTGATTAAAATTATATTTTATTATTTTTGGATTATCAAATTAATTTATTTAAATTCAATTTTTAAATCTTTCTTGGCCCTATTTAAAGATTTTACAATTCTTCCCCCCTTAAAGAAATTTCGTTCTCGAAATTTACCTGTCATAGGATCAAACAAATATGGGTACTTTTGTCGCATTGATTCTTCCGTCTCCCAAGTTGCTTCTTCTGTGGTATGATTGC